CCCCCCCCCCCAGATTATGGGACCCTGCCCTAGTTTATCAATGGCCATAATCTGCATTGTTTGCACTCTTTTTATATCGCAAATTCCCCTCCCATTCTAACATGTTATCACGACATCAACCAAAAATGCTCTGTTTTCTTATTAATAAATGTGATAATAATATGAATATGATTCATAAAATAGGCATCTTGCTACATGGACTACATTTTCCCATCCCTTCCACTTTTCTAGGTATTTTATATCTGGACTCGACCTCCAAATAAACTTGATTACAGACTGCATTTAACATCAGTCATCTTGCACACAAGGCTACACACAAACAAACCTTGTCTAATATAACCTTGAGATCCTCACCACCAGTGTAATGTGGATCAAGAATTAAAAACCTACAGAGTAAAAAAAAAATATCAGTGCATTCGCTTATTACATTTAGCCTGTGAACGGGCTCTGGCTAGAAGGGTCTGACCGCAACTGGAAGGGTCTGACCATGGCTGGAAGGGCCTGACCGCGGCTGGAAGGGCCTGACTGCTGCTGGAACGGCCAAGACGGAACTGGCTGAGAGTGCAGCAGTACAAAACGTACAAGTCAACTCTTCAGGGCCTAAGATGAAAATATCAATTCTCTTTATCAACTGCTATACAATTTTTCTTATGCATGTTCTGAGAATCTGGTGTTTCATCAAGACAATATCCATTACCTAATAACTTCAATTCTCAGGATTTCTCTGCTTGACAATGTAGTGGCAATGTAAGTAACAACAGATTTCTATCTTGTTTTGAGTGTTAATTTCCTTTTTGTGTTGTTCCAGAAAATATCCATACCCCTCCCACGGAAGGTTTTTTAGCTTGAACCCCCACACCCTCTGGAAATTCGATTTTAGTGCCATACTTTTCTTTAAAAAAATTGGGTTTTGAAACCCCCCTCCCCCTTGGAATTTATGTTAACCTTCCTTGGGGTGGGTATGGATATTTTCTGGAACTACACATTGTGACAATGAATATGCAACTAAGAAAATTATAATCGAAACTTGTCTGATAAAGATTTGGACAAAAGGGGAGAAAGGGGCAAAACCTTGTAACTTTGAGGTCAACTTTATCATAAAATTAGTTCTTAATCAAAGCCAAGGATTACAGATAATTCTGGACCACATTCCGGGATGCTTCTGAAAACAAAATGCAGCAAAATTATAACATTCAAAGTAAGTACTAGACACTTTGCTGTTCACTGAGGCTGATAGTAGAGCTTACTGACCTTATATCACCAGTCTGATCATTAAAATCTACTCCCAATATGGTGTGCGCTAAAACACCACCACCTGGAAAAGATATAATATCGTGCATGTCTTAAGGCCAACCAAGCTTATGAATTCCCCTTCTGCTTGGCCACACAAACCAATAACCTGCAACAGGGTAACTAACCAAAGGCAAAACCATTGCCTTCTTCTCTAGATGATAGACTATGATTGATTATGTAATTTGATTAAAATAAATAAAAAAACACTGAAAACTAATGATAAAAGCAAAAAGCATTTATCACAGTAAAATTATCATGGCACATCAACACTCATAACTTACCAATCATAATAGGAGTTCCCTGAGTTTGAAAATGGTGTAACAAGTCCCGTCCTTTGGCTCGCATTTCTGCTCCTGTGCTGACAAACATAATCTTTGAGGTGACTCCCAGAAGATGTTCCAAGCACATACTGACTTCAAATGAGCCTATCCACTGCCGAGAGCCCACAAATTCTTCACCTTTGTCTTGGAGGTCAACAAGTGCCTGTTGAATTTCTCTGTGGCTTGGAACAGGTTTTGATGTGTAACCCTGGTGTCTGAACCAGGAAGCAATGGTCTGAAGTGATCGGTATGCACAACCCCAGCCCTGATTGAAACAAAATGAACACTTATATATCACCAGTGGGAAGGTTTCCACTAACAGAAATAAGGAAGACTTAAAACAGAGAGGTTGGGGCTGCTGAAAAATACTTGACCACTCAAGGGCAAAATGTGGTGAAAGAACAGATTTTACCTTCACCCAAGCCCTAAGAAGGTGTCCATTTTCATTCTCCCTTCATGAAAACACCCATTTACTTGCACACCTATGGATTGAGGAGCATCCAGTTTGACCCTACTAAAGGAATGGCAAATACTTACATCATCATTAAAGTTATCCTGCATGTAATGGTGGTAACCGTATGTTCCATCCACCACTGCTACAGTGCCACAAACACCTAAAAAATAAAAAAAAATTTACATGAAACCTATTCTAGCTTTGGGTGATGGCTGCATACTGATTCTGCTTATTAATCTACTACTTACTGCTGTTCCTTCAAGGTTAGATCTGAGAATTTGGTGACACATCAAACAACATTTTAAAAAAAGTTAATACATGATTTGTTTCTGTCAATAATCCATCCACTGCCTGATAGAAATATCGTTTCACGCTTTTCCAGATAAATTATGCCAGTTCCCACCTAAATGGAGAGACATAACTGTACTGGTGTAGGAGTAAGTAAGGAGTTACGTCACAAGAAACAAAAATACCAAGGACAGTGTTGGGGTTACATTATTCTCTATCTTGGCACATTTTAAAACAAACAAAACAACCCCTCCCACACTGTTAAGGTTCACTTAGTCTAGTTTATTTCTCTCACCTCCAACTAGTCCAGTGTGAGGATTTGTTAAGTAGATATCTGTAACAAAAAAAACAGTCATATTTTTAAACTACACTTTAAACTTCACAACAATAAGACAAAGAGCACATGTGCCTAACCCTTGAAGAGGAGGGGGGAAGCTTTCTGTAATAACTCACTACAACCCTCCTTTCAAGCTCAAAATCCCATACGCAGTTTCTTCTCTCAACAATTCCACTCTACCATTTTCATGTATACCTTGTTGACGTTCATTTTCAAACACGTATTTGTTGGAGGGCCGCATAAGAGGTCTGTTTTCTGGTAGAAGAAGTCGCTTGTGCAGTTCCAACCGGTATGATGCTGTGAGAAAATTTTAGTAAACATTGTTAGGCAACATTTTGTTGAACATTAAATTCCATGCAATAGCCATTTGGCTTAATATAGCACAATTTACAAATTAATTTAGCTGACTTCATTTTGAATGCCTGTTGACTGGTTTAAGATTGTTGGTGACTGGATGGCTTCCAAATATTTTGTATGCTTACATCTCATCTTTCCTCTGAAATCATTATTCATCTTTGGCTGTTTAGCCTATGTACCCCTCATCTTGTTCGTACTGTCCTTGCCCTCTTGTTCATTTCCATCACACCTAATAACATAGAATAGCTCTTCGAAGTCCAAACCTTTATCTGCAAACTTATGAGCTACTTGCAAATGCAAACACCACATGTGAAAGACAAGCTGTTCAGCATATTGTGAGCATGAGACAAAGAAAAAATTCTGAGTGCCCAGCAGGATTCAAGCCATGACCTCGCTGATCCAACCAGGTACTCTTCCAACTGAGCTGTGGAGAGACTTGAGGTGAACTTAGCTACTAACTAGCCCAGGTTCATATGTGAACCATGTAGCTTCTGTCATCAGCATTATATTTTTGTGTACATGTAGGAGTAATTTATTGCAAAAACCTTTCAAACAACTGACTACTAGAAGTCTAGCCTGGGTAAAACACTTACCAAGCTCATTATCATCTATCATTACACCATCTCTTGTAGCAGTGGGATAAACAGTGGTCACCAAATGACAAAACCCAGGAAGCTTGAAGTGATACACTTTCACAACAGTCAACAAGTCTTCCTACATACAAGATACAGAAAAAACAGTTTAAAACAACATGCAGTGCATAAATAGCACACACAGGAGGAGGAGGAGAAGGGAGAAGAAGAGAGTTCACACATGCATACACCCCTGACTGATTTCGGTGACATGAAGTATTGCAAACTCCCCTCTAAATGGGACACTAATCCCGGGGAGGGGGTACTCTACAAAGGTTTACACGGGGAGGCTCTGTCCTGAGGTCCAAACCTTTACCCTTTTGTATCCCATTTTGACAGAAAAGGTACTCCTTTCGTTACCTTTTATTGAAAAAAGGTACCCTTTCCACATACCACATCATCTTGGAATCCAGGTTTCTTTTGCAAGGCTAAGAAAGTCTTGAACCCACAGAAAACCTATATTAAGTCTGACCATCTCACAGTAAAATGTTTGGGAGAATCTCACCTTTGAGAACTGTGTCATAGCTGAGGCCATTTTTCTTAGCTGACTGCACATAGCAGAAATAAATAACTTTGGTAGGCTTGCTAAAGAAGTGTCCATTGATACATTCAACACTGTATCAATTGCAAGTGTGAACTTGATTTGAGATGATACAGCTGCAAAATAAACATAGCTACAATTTAATCAACCTCTTACCATTTTGTTTTGTCTCAACTGAACAATTACCTGCAAATAATCTCATGAGGCAAAGAAACGTTATATTAAATCACATTAAGCTTGAACCATGGAATCACTTTTCAGTACCTCAACATAATTACATAACTGGCAATCGTTGGGGAAGGGAATGTGTGGAATTAAAGAAAATTTAAAATTAAAGTACCTTTTTTGTATTGAAAAACTGGGACAAATGTTTCATGATTACTCACAGCATCTGTGAGTTGGCTCAGGTATCTTACATCTAGTGCATCCTGTAAAAGAACCAAAATAACATTCTATTTAAAATTTTATATTTCAACCCATTGACGCCTGTGCCACCCGTAACTGGCTGTGATGAGCATTGGTCTTTGTTTCACTTGTGACATCATCACCTTTGACCAAAATTGGCATCACGTACACCCAAGTTCTACAGCAGGAAAACTCTTTCCAATGATACCCAGATCAGAGTGATTGGGTCAATATTATTATTGAGCATGAAATATGCACAAAATTCCTTAGAAATTGGAGTGAAAAACTAGGAACAAAATTTATATTTGTGCACATGCCCGAGCAAAAATGTCATAAAACGTGATACTAGTGCAAAGAAAAGCGTACTGTCATGTTGCAAATGCCTTTTTGGGTTGATTGGAACTAATTTAGCTGATATCTATGCTAAATGTCCAAAATGTCCAAGAGATACATTTTTGCCTAAAATCTCCATGTGTCAGTGGGTTAATAACTAACAATCCCAAACCAAAGATTGCTAGCATTGTCCTAACATTTGAAAAATGACATACTGGCACTTAGGAGATGTAACAGATCTCAAGAAATTTTTGTACTCAGAGTGTCTCTATTCCCCCTGACCAGTGGACAGGAACCAAACAACCCTAGGCACTCTAATATTGGAAGATGAAAATATTGAAGTTTTGATTTAATCGCATGTCCTCAATTTTCTTGTAAGTTCTTGAAAAAACCACTCCTGTAACAGAGTTCTCGAGAGTTCTGTTGATCCATCAAGCTTATGTAGTAAGTAACAGAGTGACAAAGTCTTGAAAGATTGATGTCAAGTAAAAAAATATGTAACTGACAAAGTGCTGTACTATTGCTGCAGCAAGGAAAAAAAAGACATGGAGGTTAGCAAACCAACGCATCCAATGCTAACCTTAAACTTTGCTGCATTTCCAGAGGACACAACTTTTCCACTTTTCTGTTTTCCTTTGCTCTTTGCAGATCCATGAAGGTTTTGTATCTTTCCTGGATCAGATTCAATCTTTACCAGGAGCGCTTCACAATTTTCCAAGTTGTCACTTTTAATGTCCTGGTTTTTAAGTAACACCTTGCAGTCTTTAACATGAAAGACAGTTGATGTGCTGTCTAATTCCTTGCATGATTTCTCTATTTTATTTGTTATTTCTGAAGTATCTGTAAGAGACGTAAGCATGGGCAGGGTCATGCAAATAATCAACAAGGTAAAGAATTTAACAAAAATAAAATATAATTGTAGTTAAAAGTAAATTAATACATTTTATAACAAATTGTGACTGAATTAAGAAATAAAAATGGATTAGCCTTAGTTTATAAAAGTAGCTGACTATTAAGGCAGTTTCCCTAAAAATAATTCATTGGTTTAAAATATACTGTACATTTTTATCAATATTACAATGTTCTAAATACATTTCTGTCCAACTCATACATTAATTAACAAGTAGAAATCTGTCAAGAAAAAGTTATTTATACTAAAAAACAATTTCCCGAGTAATGATGTTTTAAACAAGAGGTCAAATATAGGACATGTTCCATTTCTTTTACTGTTGCCTTGGCAACTAAAACTTTTGACATTACCCAGGGGAATATAGTTATGTACTAAATGTCATTCATCAATGCCATATGCGTACTCTGTATAAGATAACTTACGACCTTAAAGAGAAAAATGCTACTTACCATTTTGACCCCTGCTTATGCATATTGGAATGTTTGCTTGAAGTCTAAAAGAAATCCTTTGATCCAGAAATTCTCCAATGATATCTGCTTCTTGGTATTCACACTGTGTTACAGTACCAGAATCCTTATCATAAATAAAACATCTTTTGCTGTCGCTTTCACTGGTAGAACAATGTTGCAAGACCACTAACGTCCTCCTGAAGGAAATGTCCTAAAACAAAAGCAAATTAAAGAAAAAGCTTTAACAAAGAGTTACCAATAATTTGTGAGGGGAAGATATTTAATAGTTATTAATTATAGGTCATTTAAGTCTTGGTTAATTTGCCCTCAATGAATTTCATGCCTTATGCCTCATGTCACTCATGTCTCGTGTCTGCTTGACAGTTCACAATCAATAATTATTATAAATAAAGAAATATAAGATTGTACTTTTCTGCAATAAATTGTTCTCACATTTGTCCATAATCCATCAAAGACCTTTTTGAGCTCATGGGCCTCGAGAGGTGTGGGTTTGGTACATGAATAATAAATCCCACAAAGATTTATCCCTAGAAGAGTGATAAGAGCAAAACATTAAATTTGCATCATGATCATAAAGCATTTGGTGAAAATGAAGATAATTTAGTTAAAAAGAAATGGTCAGCCAAGTATCCTAAAAATATATCAAATGAACAAATGCATGAATCATCATGTACAATGTGTAAATACGTCCAACCAATGAGCCAAATGACTAAAAGAATGACTGGAATGAAGGAAGGCAGGAATGTAATGAATGAATGAATGAATGAATGAATGTCAATGAATATCACTGAATGAATGAATGTCAATGACTGACTGACTGACTGACTGACTGACTGACTGGCTAACTGACTGACTGAGTGAATGAATGAATGACTGAATGAATAATGTATGGATGTATGGATGAATAAACAGACGGACAAACAGATGGATGGATGAATGAATGAACAAATGAATGAATAAACAGATGGACAGACGGATGGATGGACAGTCGGACGACTGGATGCATGGACAGACAAATGGACAGTTGGACAGACGGATGAATGAACAAATGAATAAATGAACATATGAACAAATGGATAGATGGATGGACAGAAGGATGGATGCACAGACAGACGGACGTATGGATGAATGAATGAATGAACGGACCGACAGATGGGCAGACGGTCAGATGGACGGATGAATGAACAAATGAATGAATGGATGAGTAAATAAATGAAAGATCAAATGAACAAATAAATCAACTAAAAAGTTTCTAGAAAACTAAATAATCGATAGCTATTTAGGTTAACAGGAAAATCACAGGTATTGTTCTAAACGTCTAATGTTATTCATTGCATCATTACCCAGTACCCATGCATAATTGCCAAGAAATTAGAATATTAGTCTTAACACATACCATTTGGAACAAGACAAGACAATTCTGATCTCTCATTCTTCCAGTCAGGAATTGCTGGATAACCTTTCTTTGCCGAAGGATGGGAACTTCTACAAGTCACACATCCAATTATGTGAACTTTGTCCGACAGTATTTCACCATAAAGGTATCCCAGGAAATTCCCCTCAAGGTCTTCCGGGTTCTTCACTCGTTGAAGCAATCTCTGACAAATTCAATTGAACCAAACTTGATTGAACATAGCTGCTACTTTACTTCTCTTATACTTTATATAACCGTTTACTCAAACATATCACAAGGTATGACGGAAGCCAATTTATTACCTTTTTTATCGAAATATCGACGACTACCTGTGTTTCTTTGTCCGCCATTTTATATTCATACGTTAGTCCGCTGCACGAATGACTGCGGTCTCCAACTAAGNAATGAATATCACTGAATGAATGAATGTCAATGACTGACTGACTGACTGACTGACTGACTGACTGGCTAACTGACTGACTGAGTGAATGAATGAATGACTGAATGAATAATGTATGGATGTATGGATGAATAAACAGACGGACAAACAGATGGATGGATGAATGAATGAACAAATGAATGAATAAACAGATGGACAGACGGATGGATGGACAGTCGGACGACTGGATGCATGGACAGACAAATGGACAGTTGGACAGACGGATGAATGAACAAATGAATAAATGAACATATGAACAAATGGATAGATGGATGGACAGAAGGATGGATGCACAGACAGACGGACGTATGGATGAATGAATGAATGAACGGACCGACAGATGGGCAGACGGTCAGATGGACGGATGAATGAACAAATGAATGAATGGATGAGTAAATAAATGAAAGATCAAATGAACAAATAAATCAACTAAAAAGTTTCTAGAAAACTAAATAATCGATAGCTATTTAGGTTAACAGGAAAATCACAGGTATTGTTCTAAACGTCTAATGTTATTCATTGCATCATTACCCAGTACCCATGCATAATTGCCAAGAAATTAGAATATTAGTCTTAACACATACCATTTGGAACAAGACAAGACAATTCTGATCTCTCATTCTTCCAGTCAGGAATTGCTGGATAACCTTTCTTTGCCGAAGGATGGGAACTTCTACAAGCCACGCATCCAACTATGTGAACTTTGTCCGACAGTATTTCACCATAAAGGTATCCCAGGAAATTCCTCTCAAGGTCTTCAGGGTTCTTCACTCGTTGAAGCAATCTCTGACAAATTCAAAAGAAACAAATTTGATCGAACATAGCTGCTACTTTACTTCTCTTATACTATATGTAACCGTTTCCTCAAACATATCACAAGGTATAACGGAAGCCAATTTATTACCTTTTTTATCGAAATATCGAGGACTACCCGTGTTTCATTGTCCGCCATTTTATATTCATACGGTAGTCCGCTGCACGAATGACTGCGGTCTCCAACTAAGTCCCAGTGCCCTTTCGCCAACCTCGTTCCCAAGGTCTCTCGACAGATCTCTGCTTTACTTCCCCTGGACGACCCGTGGGAAAAAGTACTTCCGTATGCTAGCGCTTGGAGAAGTATTGTTTAGCGTTCGTAACCTCTTCAAATCGACGGGTGCTGCTGCTTTAAGATGTGCTAAAAAGGAATCCGTAGCAAAAAAAATTCCTGACAGGCCCAAGAAATCTAAGACGCGCGCACAACGTTCTACTATCCATATGGTCAAAGGTTGTTTCCGCTTACTTTCAATTTCGAACAGCAGTTTCACAGGTACCACCAGACTTACCTGCAAGTTTACTTCAAGTCTCAATTCTAAGATTGGACTATTTCGATCTTCAACTTGTCCCTCATCAGAACTAAGGACTTTTGGTAATGATCGCCCTATGCGTAGAGATTTTTCTTATCCCCTATTTTGTCATGATCATTTAAGCTTACAGTCAAAATTTAAGCTTAATAGTTTGCGTGTTTTGGTGATACTTGGCTCATTGAATTCTCTTTGTCCAGTTTCTTGTACAAAATTACCTATGGAGAACTTGGAGGAGGCATCTGACTTTGAGAGCAACACTAAAGGCATAGAAATTGGTGCAGCACTTGTTCAACCTGAGGAGTCCAAACATGTGACTGAAGATGTGACGTATGTCAATCAAAAAGACTCTTCCACCAATCAAGATAGTTTTCCTGTCAGCAGTTTCACGCAGGACAAGGTACCTCCTGACTTGAAGGAAGAGATGCAAAGTGAACGGGATTTTGATCAAGAGACATGTACATTAGAAACATCAGGTAGAGTGTCTGAGTTGCCAGAAGAACAAGAAAGACATCAAATACTAGATACTGAAATAACCAAATGCTTTCAGAATACTGAAAATGAAAAAGATAGCAACGTGCACTGTGATGATGGATCCTTTGGATTAGAGACTCTTTTTGATGAGGACCTACATCGCAATGATGCAGCAGGGTGGATAACTCAAAGCAAAGCAAAAACTAAACAAAGAAAGCGCGAAAAGAGAAAGCGAAAACTACAGCTGAATGCTTTATCGGATGATGATGACACCGATATGGCTAGTGCTAGTGGTAGTAAAGACAATGGACTATTACTAAAAGGTAAAAAGAAACCTAAAAGGATTACACCAAACTACTTCTTGGCCATTCGTGTCTCCAACCCTCAGATACATTCTGCCATCAAGAATGTTCAAGATTCTATTACTACACATAATGAAAAACTAACACCCGCTCTTATTCCTCTGGAAACTTTACATTTGACCCTCATGGTCATACATCTTGAAAATGATGAACAAATTCAGAAAGCGACAGAGGTTTTAAATCAGTGCAAAATTAGTCTGGACCCCATTTTGCGAAACAATGTATTGACAATGACCTTTTCAGGCCTTGGCCACTTTAACCATCGAGTTCTTTATGCAAAACTTTGTGGAGGGGAGGAGATGGAAGTTCTGAAATCTGTTGTGAACATAGTAAGAGAAACTTTCACAAAGGAAGGCATTCCTTCAACTGACTCCCGCGAATTCAGCCCTCACTTGACAGTCATGAAATTGTCTCGTAACCCAACGTTGAGAAGGAAAGGGATCAAGAAGATCCCAGAAGAGAGTTATGCAAGCTGGGTTGATATGAGCTTTGGAGAAGAGCCAGTAAATGCTGTGCACTTGTGCTCTATGAACAAGAGAGAAAAGGATGGATTTTACAAGTGTGAGGCCACAGTGACATTTAATGATGCAGCCAATGAACCTCCATCCACTGAAACAGGAAATACAAGAAGAGAGGCTGATGTAGCACAAGATAATAACATTGGAGATGTAGAACAGGAAGCGACAAGTTCAAGTGCTGCACTTTGTGATAAAAATACTGGTGGAAATGGGAAAAATGTTGAAGAAAATGCTCCTTGTGACGAAGATCTCTCCAAGGAGTTAGGTTCATGGACAGTTGATGACAGCATGGAAGATGAAGTTGTAACAAGAGAACCAAGTGAACTTCAAGGTGATTCTGAAAGGAATGGCAGAAAAAGTGACCATTAATTTGCTAACCTAGTGTCAGAGGTATATCAAACATCTCTGCCTTCAGACACTGATTATTGTACATCGCTGTACAGATGCAAGTTGCTGGTTTTAAATGGCACAAATATCTGATTAAAGACACTTGATTTTAAGTTCATGGAAATGGTCTTTTTGTATACCCTTCTACGAAAACAAAGAAGACACTTGGTGACCGGGCTTTTTCTGCTGCTGCACCAACACTTTGGAAAAAATTACCAAGTGATATAAAAGATGAGGACAATTTTGAGCACTTTAAATCAAAACAAAAAAATTTGCTTAGGAAAGCATGTGAATAGTAAGTTTTTTATATTGTATATTAGACACTTTTTACTAGATTTTAAAATATTCAATTATCCTACTTATTTTTAAGCATTCTTACTACTAGTTTTAACTAATATAATTTGTTTGTCAGGCACATTTGCTCATATTTACATGTTAATTTGCACCATGTAAATTTTAATTATTGTTATTATTTAATACTGTTATTAATGTACACAAAGGACAAGCTAGCCAGCTGTTTGAGTAAGATTGCCATGGGACAGTCTACATGAAAAAAATTTTTACTCAAAATGTTGATACAGGAACCAGATTGCTTTGACTATCATTTTCTTGACTTGTGCTTTAGATAAATATTTAATATGTGTTTGAGCCTTGTGGCGCCTTGGCTGGTGCTTCTCTCTCTGGTTTCTGTAGCATACAGCGACTATGAGTATTCTTTCTCCCTGGCAGTAATTTATAAACCTGGTTGCAGAGAGTCACAGTCAGAGTAAAGTACCTTGTGACCAAGAACACTTCACAATCAACCAGACCAGGGCTTGAACTCAGATCACTTGGTCCAGAGTCCAGCCCACTAACCATTAGGGAGGCTCTGTTAGGTGTTTTTCAGGAACTGGGATATTTAGGTTACGAAAATAACAAGATACAGTTTGCTTAGATTAGATAAAATGGTATAGTATGGTGACAGAGCTTTTTCTGTATGCGCTCTGAAGATTTGGAACACTGTTCCTTTGGAAATAGGTCGATCCAGTACAGTTTTATTATTTAAGAAAAAACTCATGACCTCCCTTATTACTAAATTTATTAAGAGTAACTCTTTATTATACTTTTAATTTTTTTTTTAAGATTCTAGTTTGTTTGGGTATTTTGGTAGTTTATTAGTTTTTAAGTTTCTTAGGGTAAAATATTGTAGCTTTTAGGTATAATTTTGTGAAGCACCTTGGGCAAATAATGGATGTGTGGGCTATACAAATGAACTATTATTACTATCATTATAGTGAGTTGGAAAATCGTTAATTTTTGCAACTGGAATAAACAGGATCTGGGATACTCAGACCCCCCCCCCCCCCCCCCCCCC